GGAGTGTCAATGGTCCATTTGAGAGATAGGTGGCGGTAATGCACTTATAAGTCTGTGATCTGCCGTAAAGTAAGAAGAAGAAGATGCCTCACGCGCAGGCTCGCCAGGCTGAAGAAGAAGATGCGAACGCGCTCAGGACAGTTTATACATTGTGGTGAAAATCAGAGGTAAAAAACGATATGAATACTGTTCAGTTTCTTGCACAGACCGATCGTTTTGTGTCTTTACACATCAATGTATCGTCATGAGCTGCTGGGTTTAATTTGGTTTTGTTTGTGTATGTTTTATGACTCTCAAAGCCGTGATTCCCATCCACTGACATTATACGACTGACCGACTGCAACGGTTTGAGTTAAAAATCTCCGTTTGTGTTCTACCGAAGAAACAAAGCCACCTACATCTTGGATGCCCTGGGGGTAAGCAGATACACAATTTTTGGGTGAACTATCCCTTTAACCCCCTCTGGGAGGAGGTGACTCCCCAGTGTGTCCTCTTCCAAATGGAAGGGCACGCTTTCCCAGTGTTTTCCAAGTCCTACTGTTGGGTTGCGAGGAACAACTGAAGTCGACCTTCTCTGTGTAGAGCCCGGTCCTATCGTATGCCTTATAGGAAGGATCAGGAGGTCTACACAGGGCACTGGAGGGGGCAGCACCTGTGGCGTGTTGGTAGGGATCCCAATTCGTCGGTCATCACCGACGTGACGTCGAGAGTGACCAACTGAAAGGGAACGTCTCGGTTACGTATGTAACCCTAGTTCCCTGAAGGAGGGAACAGAGACGTCAAGTCCCTGTCGCCACAGTTGCTGTACCACCGCTGAGCTGCTGAGTCACCGGCTCAGCTCCTCAGCGTAAGCATGAATTAATGCGGTGCACCTGCTGCCTCTTATACCCGCGCTGCGGGGTGTGGCAGCCAGATGCGAAATCCGAATTGTTTTGTTACACTCAAAGTGGATTGGTCTCTCTGGTGAGATCCCAATTCGTCGGTCATCACTGATGTGACATCGAGAGTGATTGACTGAAAGGGAACTGGAAGAGAGTGACTGACTGAAAGGGGACGTCACGTCCCGTCGCCACGGCTGCTGTACCACCGCTGAGCTGCCGGGTCACCTGGCTCGGCTCCTCAGCGAAAGCATGAATGAATGCGGTGCACCTGCTGCCTCTTATACTCACGCTGTGATAAGCGGCAGCTGGATGCAATAATCGCATGCCAATGTGCATTGGCTCGTTTAGTTACACTTGAAGTGGATTGGTCTCTCTGGCGAGATCCCAATTTGTCGGTCATCACCGACATGATGTCTCCGTTCCCACCTTCAGTGAACGAGGGTTACATACGTAACAGAGACGTTTTCCTGCGTGACATTTGTTGTCATGACATCCAGTGAGCGTATGACGTTTGATGTAATCGGGCGACACTTTACCACTGTGTAATATGAGTTATTCATTAATTAATTTTTTTATTTTTTATCACTTAGATATGGCCATTTGACTTATAGTAGTGTCTAGTGTTTCCCATACATTGATTTATTTGTGGCGGCCATCACAATATCAAAACTGACCGCCACAAATTGATTTCCCAAAAGGCTTATACTTTGTTGAATAAACATGAGCACTGCACCTATCAAAATCAAAATGTGGTACAGGTGTTTTTATATGAATGTATCTTTGAAAAGAACCGACCATCTTCAGAAAAGCTCGATGCCATTTTCATTTAGTCTTTCCTATAAAGTATTTGTGAGCGCAGTGGTTATTTGAATATAGCCGTTACCGGGGAAACCGCTATTTCTCCCGCTGCAACAGTGTCTCCTGCTGGAAGAGAATTAATTTGCATTTACAAGTCTGAGTCTGTCGGAAACACTGGTGTCTGTCAGCAAACATAAACAAAAAGCATGCTTCAGAGCTGTTTTGAGAAGGTGCTTAAGTTTTGAGCTATGTACTATCACTATGAATTAGGCTACTACTACTACTACTACTACTACTACTATTACTATCTTGTGCCCTGCAAAAAACATTTACTCACTTTTAGGAGATGAAGGAGGTAAAAAAAAAAAAGAAAACCGGCCAAACATATCAGCCCAAAAAAATAGGCATCATATATTGGCCATCGGCTGCCCTGATTTCTAAATATCAGCATCGGCCAGAGAAAAACCCATATCGGCTGACCTCTATTGCTGACACTTAAATTAGGCCTAAATTGTTTTGCCACTTTTGCACTTGTTATTAATGTATTTTAAATGTAAAAGTCACTTTATTTAAAAAAAATTGTGTTGATTTGTTATGCATGTTTATTAAAAGCAAGTTTTGTTATAACCAATTCATAACCAGTCCGGACCTTTGACATTGATGAAAGTTCAGATTTGGACCTTTGAATGTACTTTGAGAACCCCAGGCATAGGGTTTGGAATCAAAAATCGATTCAAATTCTGGAATCGAATACTGAAGGTGACGAATCGGATACTTGTTACAAAAATAAAATTTAAATTCTTCTTATCGATTCCTTTGTGTGCATTTTAATATGACTCTAAATCATTCATGCACAAGACCAGCACGCTGTTTTCTGTGCTGCACACACATCCACAGCACATTCACAGAAAAAGTGATTTTATACCATTCACGCACAAGCAGATAAGAAGGTAGTGGCAGCACACTCACCTTTGAATCGCTGTTGTAATAGATGATGATGATAATAATAATAATAATAATGTGTCTTCTCCTTGCAGGGGACTACCATGTTTTTACAGAGACCACTGACTACAGGATAATTGAGAGACATGGCGGTACGGGTAGTAAAAGTCTTAAACATAAACAATATAGCAGTCCTAGTAAGTGACAATTTAGATAATCTCTGTTTCTGCGTCCCAGTTAGCTTACTTATACTACACCCTAAAAGTATGTACTTTTTTTTTTTGAAGAAAAAGTACATACTTTTGAGTATGTAGCAGAAGAGTAGACAAACTTGGAGATCATCATTAACGGACAGCTCTGTCGCTTAGTCACCACATCCTGTCACTACAAACTGCCCTGTCAATCATCTCGTCATAGTTAAAACCATCCACATTCAATTTTATTACATTTTCTACCATTTCCGAGAGAAATGCAGCAGCACATTGGTCTGCCAGTCATGGGTCTTTCATGCGGAGACTCCCGTACTCTCACGATGCATTTATATGTTTATGGTCAAAAGTGTCTTTATAAAAGTTCACAATGCTGTTGCAGATGAAATATAATGTGGATAACATTGAATAATTTTATTTTTGTCCGGTTAGATACTGATAGCGTTTGTATCTGCAGCGTTTGTAGTTAAAAAAAAAAAAAAACATTTTATCCGTGTTTGTAGTTCTAGTACTAGTTCAAATCTTTGTCCAACTCACAATGGGTTGTGGGCAAGATCTGCACTTTAGATTCTTACTGGAAATAGTAGACCATCCAGGGACCTATGGAACACTCTTTTCAATATACTATGATTTGGAACATTCTTTTTCCATTTTCGAATACTATTTAGGACAGATAGTATGCGAATTGGGACGCACCGCGTGTGTGTGGTGCTGGCTTATGTAGAGCTGTAGACGAGGATGATGGCAGACAGGTGTGTTGATTGTGAAGTGAGTGCAGGTGATGATAATCAGGGAGGATTGTGGGAGATGTAGTGCGCAGAGGTGACAATGACAGGCATGGTTACTGGTGACCCTGACATTCAGCTACAATGAAATGTTTTGCAATAAGACTTAGAATAAATATGAATATCTTTTTTTTTTCCCCTTATTGGAATCAAAATTAGGAATTGATAAGAATGGTAATCCATAAGCAGAATCGAAATTGTTAAAATTCAAACAATACCCAACCCTAGTTGTGCAATTAATCTCTTTGCTCATGTAGCAACAGCATTGTATCTTCAAGCTAGAAAAAGCTCTTTAAAGGCTTGATTAACCCATAAATCCTTGTCAGTTGAAGATGCTGTTCGTTCTAAAACCGACCTTGAGGTGTGCAGAGCCATCGGACCTGACGGTGGGTGGCACAGTGGATTTGTAAGGGGTGAACATTGCTATTATGAAAAAGACTGGGAAACTCATCAAGCCAAAAGCCATGAGGTACTTCAGTGCAGTGCATTATATTTATGTTTAAAACACTACAGATCACAAATACCAGTGGAACAATTAACAGACTGCAGTCAAGGAGATGATGCCTCTCCTATTTCTTGAGAACTTAAATTACTGTATTAATAATCTGCAGATTCTGGTTGATCCGTGCGGAGGACGTGGTTGGAAATGGGTGGAGGGGGCACAAGGAAACATGTACACATATGACGAATCGAGGAGGTTTCCAGGAGTCAAATACTACGTGTGTAGGTTAGTGCCAATACAAACACAATACATAGTACTGGTAACACTTTAGAATAACTATAGTGTAATAAACATGTAGTTAATACACTAATGGGCTATATGTAACCAGTGGCTCGCGACGCCCAGAGTGATGCGCAGCCAGCGACACCAGTTATGAAACTTTATTCTGTGTTTTGTGGATTTAGACACAGGACAGCAGGCAGCAGTTTCGCTGGATCTTTTTCTTCCTGATATAAAAGACAAATGAACAGCCTTTCTTAGAGTGTGAATCGCCCTTAACGTTCGCTCTTCCATGCAGTTAACAATGCAAAAGGGACAAAAAGGAGCGTGGAAAACATAAATAGAGTAAAGAAAAATTACAATAAACAAGTAAATAGTAGAAACAGAAATATACCTAACATTAAAGACACATAATGACAGCCTCTTTGAGTGAACTGCCCTTGTTCTCTCGCTGTAAAATAAATGTGATGTATACTTCACCATGGGCTCTCATTTAGGCCAAAGACAAAAATATAACTACAAAAATAACCAGACAGGTAAGGACAATAACATTATAAACGACATGAATTGGAGTGAAAATATAGATATAGAAACAGTGATTACAATAAAGATTAATTAAGATTATGAGGAGTCAGAAATAACCCACCTCTTCCAAGCAGTTCACAATGCAGAAGGGAAGAGGAGGAGACAGAACAGGAAATTATGTTGGCTTGTGATATCACAACAATTAAAGGGCACCTATTATGCCTCTTTTTACAAGATGTAAACGAAGTCTCTGATGTCCCCAGAGTGTGTACATGAACTTTTAGCTCAAAATACCCCACAGATAATTTTTTAGCATGTTAAAATGAGTGAGCAAAAATGCGCCATTTTTGTGTGTCCCTTTAAATGCAAATGAGCTGCTGCTCCCGGCCCCCGTTCAAGAAAGAGGGCAGAGTTTTAAGAGCTCATGGTCCAGTGTCTTCCCCGCAAAAGATCGGAGACTCAGAACTTGTTGATATTTTGCAGTCTCACCTTCACAGGCCGGAGACTCAGAACGGAGGTTGATCTGCTATTGTCTCACTCTTGCGGGGCTCAGACTCAGAACTTGCTCTTTTAGTGTCCTTTCCCTGACAGGACTCAGAACAAGGAGTGTCTTTTGGGAAGGTACCTTTCTCTCTTTCCGATGAGGAGGAGATTGCAATCTGGCACTTTTCCATTTCCAGGCTGTGATTGGCTGTTTCCATCAGAGTGGGGGGACATGGTGTGGCCCACCCTTCTTTCCTCCTGTGGAACTTATTTGCATAGTCCAAACACACATTTAGAAAAGTTTTATCAATGCATTATTAACTTACCAAACCACAACCAGAATACATTTGGCAATGCTACGAACACATTAAGTCCAAACATGTTGGAAGAAGATTGAACTGACATGCATGTATTCATTTGTCCATTAACAGCTGCGTTTGTGTAAGATGTTGCACAAGGCTTCCAAATCTTCTACACTTATCTTGCTGGATCTGTCCACTGCTTTTGACACAGTTAACCACCAGATCCTCCTGTCAACCCTATTGGCAAAGGGCATCTCAGGAACCGCACTCCAGTGGTTTGAGTCTTATCTCTCAGATAGGTCCTTCAAGATATCTTGGAGAGGTGAGGTCCAAGTCACAACATCTAACTACTGGGGTGCCTCAGGGCTCAGATATTGGACCACTTCTCTTCACCGTCAATTTGGCATCACTAGGTTCTGTCATTCAGAAACATGGCTTTTCATATCACTGCTATGCTGATGACACCGTCACACCTCTGTTTATCAATTTGCATTGGCTACTAGTAGCTGCTCGCATAAAATTCAAGGCATTGATGATTGCCTACAAAACCACCACTGGCTCTGCACCCCTTTACCTAAATTCATTACTTCAGACTTATGTGCCCTCTAAAAACTTGTTTTTCTTTTTGTGTGTGTGTGTATATATATTTATATATTGTAACGGGGTGAAGAATCACACGACAAGTAATCTCAATCAATACCCCGGAGGGTGGATTTATTGGGGTGATGGGTGATAGTGAGAAAGGTCCAGGTAGGTGCTCCGGTGCCGTGAGTGCTCTCTTCCGTCTTCCCAGTGCAGAGGGTCAGTGCAGTGCTCCTGTGGGGCTGGTCGGAGTCGCTTTGGATAAAAGCGTCTGCTAAATGACTAAATGTAAATGTTGCACTACACGTCACTGTCACTGAGAATACCTATTTCTCTGAATAATTATGAGATGTGTGTGTTGTAGTTTACATCAGTTTAAGGTTTGAAAACATAGTTATGAATGGATTTGGATGGATCTCTCTTTGTTTCACTCACTGCTGCTGCATCCAAAGGTCCTAAGGAATTTTTATGACAGTCACAGGCCAAACCTTAGCGATCAGTCTGTAGGTGGGTGGAGGGCAGAAACATTTTGACCAATGAGAAGTCCTGTCCTTCCTGGGCTTGGTACCAAAGGTCTTCTTCTTGCCCTCTAAGAGGTGCAAACATTCAATAGCAAACATTTAATAAACAGTCCACAATAGCAAACAGTTCAAGGATCAAAACTGGGCAAGGCTAGGAATTGCAGCTAAAAACAAACAAACAATACTCAGCGACGTGAGTGTGTGGGTGCAACCTTTAAAGTCCTCCTGATTGGGAACAGATGTCTGTAATCAGTTCCTAGGTAGAGGGTATCTGGGAAATGGAGTCTGAGATGGAGGCAAAGGTATGGGATGGAGTGTTTGTACAGTATAAAACTAATTTCTATGGAAAGTCTCTATTAAACATGGAAACCCAATGTGTGTGTGAGTGTGTACTTAATGTATTTATAAACATTTTAAGGAACACCGAATATGAATGCAATTAATGTCTAATAAAGGTTGTTAATTTTCCAATTTTCCATGACCTGATATAAAGTGAGAATTATTTACTGTTAATAAGTTGTTAAAAAAGCATTGTCTAACTCTTAATATATGAGCTGATTAAACAATAATAATTTGTTTATTACAATGACAATGAATGAAGAACTCAAAACGAATGTATTAAAGTTTATAAAATATTAATTAACTACAATAGTTTTCAAATGATTTGTAAGTACTTTATTACACTACAGTTATTATTAAGTGTTACCATAATCCTCATTTGGTTGGGGGAAGTAAACCTTTATGAAATGCTTATGTTTGCAGACTTTAACTGAAAAAGAATTTTATTGAGATTAAAATCATGTCACGTCTGTGTTCTAATGTTCTCTTTGTCGCCCAATAGTTTGAGGAGAAATGGCTATGTAGGGAAGCTTTTCAACACACGGCATGGCTTTCTGTGCCATTTTCCACTTGGCTCATATAACCGGGATGGAAGTTTCTATGCACTGGTTACACAACCATGTATGTGAAGACACTTCACCATGATTCACGGTTCAGTTTCTCTAGTTCCTTTTTCAAGCTTTGATTGGGTGGTGCTGCTGTATTCATCTTTCAAAAGACAGACTGAACCTAAATGCACAGACGGAAAATAGTAGCCAACTCTCGCTAAACATTTATGCAACTGGTATAAACACATGCTTTTTGTTACTAATTTTATTCGGTTGCTTTTCAGTGGGATATTTTTAGTTCTAAATTGTTCTAAATTGAATTAGCCATTAAAATTTGATGAAAGTGAGCAAGTGGAGTACATTTCCACCTGCAGGATATGTTATGTAAGTTTGCAGTAACATTCTGTGTTCTCTGCACAGTCAATACTATGAACTCAATGCCATAATGTCCTTTGCTGCAATAATGATGTAAGATTTGGCAGTGTGCAAATTCCAATGAAATATAAATGCTTCAATAAACATTACTAAATTCACTTTTATTGTCTTTCTTATTTATTTTCTTTTACAGCTCAAAATAATATTTGTGGCTTAAATATTTTGTTGTTGACAGAGTAGATGTGATTTTAGTAGGGCTGTGAATCTTTGGGTAGACAGCGAATTGATTCGATTCACGATTCATAGGTTTTAGATTCGATTCAAGAACGATTTTTGCATATTCCGAACGATTAAATTAGATTCAATTCACAATTAAATTAGATTAACGATTCGATTCTGCATTCTTGAAGTTCTATCAGCACGAGATCACTTCTCTTTCAGTGCTAAAACTTCTTTCTCATTTTCATAAAATAAAATGCTATAGTATTTAACTTTTCCTCTCCATCGGCGAATGATGATTCTGAGAAAACGCGCCCGATGTCTGTTTGCTAAAGCAACAAATGCTACTTTCATGCATCTGATTATCAGATAAACCTTGCGCTCTTATTTCAAGGTTGTTGTTAATGCTGTGGTTATTTTAACAGTTTCCTTCGTACATTTGGTTCAATGACATTGTTAAAACACATTTATCATTCAATGGGTTTTCGATTCGATTCAAGAACGATTTTTGCAAATTAAGAACGATTCGATTAGATTCACAATTCAATTCAATTTGATTTGATTCTGCATTCTTAAATGCATTTACAGGATTATTTAAATGCTTTCCCTAAATTATTTAAATGCTTAGTCAGGGGGCAAATTACACAGCA